GAATATGTGTGCAATTGCCTGAAAAGATAGAAGAATTTACAAGTTCCTAATATATAAACATCAAGTTCAATTTATAATGTGAGAATTTATATCGTATCAAAAAGGAAATTTAAATTTCATTCATTCGTAATTAATGCCTACTAATGTTGCATACAAGTAGTTGGAAGGTGTTTCGAAAAAAAATCAACTCTTAACATCCACCAACCCATTAAGATGAACTTTATCATTGAATATATCAATAAATTGTTATGTAAATATATTTAATGAATGTTATACCATAATACAAAAGTAACTGAACAATTACACTTGGTTATTGTGATCATTAAGTGATCGATCAACAAAATTAACAAAAAGTATCAACAAGTATTATGTTTATTTAACGTGATTTCCTGTTATATCGATTTGATTTTCATCATATAGATATAGAAATTGTTGTTTTTCATTCGAAATCATCAATAAATCATTGAATTTCATAAAATGTGCTCACTAATGACTAGCTTAGTGAGGACGTTCTCAGAGTTCTAGTGAGAAAAAAATGGCTAGTGGAATCCAACCCTGACGAGTGTAGGTGGTAACTATCGAAGACAATGGGTGATGTTTCGTAAAATCCCGAGATTAATCAGAGTTAGAAATGAACAACGTTGACTGCCGGCTCAGTGGTATAGAGGCTAAGCGTTCGCGCGCAAGATCGAAGGACATGGTTTCGATGCCCTCAGCAAGGGGTTATGTATCTGCACTAACGATGAGTCACATACTAGTACGAAACAGCCGTCCAGTTCTTCCCAGGTTTCTAATGGTGGTTTAACACTGATAGATTAGTGATTTCATACATCTATTTGGCTTTAACCTGATAATATATAATCACTGTACTACTACTTTAACATTTTATGTTTAAGTAGTCATTAAACTATTGTGATTAATAATTTGAAAGATAGAGTTCTTGATATTTGTTAATTGTCTCTAATAGTTGAAGATACAGGTCCACCAGCATTTAACTACGACTGATAAAATTTACATCTGTGAAACCTGTGTACTCAATGAAATTTTGATATTAGCTAGGGATGGCTATAAGGCGGTGAATATTCCAGATAATTCTTAAACTTTGTAGATTGCTCGTCCTCAGGACCGTTATCAGATAACAAAAACGAAGCGTTCACGTCGTTTATTATTGCATCACAAAAGCACAGGTATATGACACCACAGAGAAATGATCTATGAATGCCGAGGAGTAAATGAACAGGACTAAAATGTATACGCAGGAAAGTGAATAAGTCATTGAATTATTTAAGCAACTAACATTACAGTTAGTAGAATAAATGTTTACGTAGGCGGTTAGTATTGCTCAAACATATATGCTTAATACAAACGTGGTAATGATAAAAGTACAAAGGTTATAGACAACTTATTGCTGATCTAGTGATTCAGTCTGTTAAATAAGTTACTCAAAAGGTTTAACCAAATTTAGACGTAACCCAACTCGAATGTATATGAGAAGCTACTCTGAGTTATGGGATGCGCAATGCCATGATTAAATACTCTCTCGTTAAAGGTAATTATAATCAAAATAAATACTTTAATATTAAAGGTAATTTTATCTTTTGGAGATACCTGTTTGAGTGGCTTAGTAGTAGTGTTAGGTTCGTCACCAAGTATACTTCACCTTAGTCGATAAACGAGAACGAGACAATGATCTAGAGTCCAGGTAGGCTACCTTGAGCTGTTGACTAATGAAAAGTCTTGATATAACGTAGAAAGTATATTCTACAAACACCTAGCAAGCACAATGCAATCAAGCACACAAATCACACATATTTATACATCATAGAAACGTCCTTTGGACAGTCACAAAAATAGCACACTAAAATACACAGCAGTCAATCACAGCGAAGGATTTTGTTGGTGTGAAATGAAATCTCAAGGTCAACTGATCAGCCCATGCTCGCAAACATGAAATCCAAAATAAGGCATTTATCAAGTGAGATCTAGGGATCTAACGTCCTCAACATGCAGATAGGTCTTCCTAATAATATGCAACATTTAAGAAGTACAGATACAGCGTTGCTCATCACTTACCTACAACAACTAACGAAAAAACCGATCATACTCTCGATTCATCATTCACACATAGTTCAGCCTTATTAACTATTCGTTGATTACCTTTAATAGTTTTTTGACTGGGAGTGTATGTGTGTGTGTGCGGATCGCTTACTTCGTTCATCTCATGCTCAGCTTATCTATCTATCTTACTACAAATAGGTAGTTATGCCTTACCGAATTCAGTTGTCCTACTCACTATCTCACCTATATTTCGTTTTGTGTTTCTACTTATCATTATCGCACGAAATAAACTCATCCAAATCAATTCTTATTATTTAGCTTTCTCATTTCTACAGTTGCACGAACGAGATTAGCCTTAAAATGAAAGATTTAATCGTTCGATCAAATCGGATCACTAAAATCATGTGACATGATTAAGTTATTTAGCTTAGATATTGACTGGTAGAATTTAACTAGTTATTGAGTGCTTCATAGTGGTTAACAGACAAATTACTTACTTACTTATGCACTTACTTACTTACTTACTTACTTACCTACTTCCTTACTTACTTACTTACTTACTTACTTACTTACTTACTTACTTACTTACTTTACTCCAACCAACTCTGTCCCGAGGTTCCCTTTCCAGTTCTATCCAGTTTTTCGTTCATTCTTCTCATATCTTTTTCTCGGTGTAATGTGTTCCTTGGCCTTCCGTTTTTCCCTTGACCCTGAGGGTTCCATCCGAGGGCTTGTCTTCTGACGCAGTTGGTTGCATTTCGCTAAAAGACAAATTACAGAGGTGAATTTCATAAGTACAGGATACAATCATCCTTAACTTTAAAGAGATTCATAAAATTTTTATATCTGCTTTTAAAATGCTGATGATTACTAACATGATAGGTCTGTAAATGAACCATAAAGTGAAGCCTAATCGATAAATGACCTGTGGTATGCAAATTCAATCATCATCAGCATCGTTGCCCTTTTTCCATGAACTCACATCACGTTTATAAACAAGGTTTAAATTGAAATTTGAAATAAATTCAGTATTGGATGGATTGTTTATGATATCTCAGTGGGTAGAAAATCAGAATTATGATATACATGTAATTTATAGTCAATCAATCTATCAATCAATAGCAACATAGAGCTTCGTACATAAGTACATCAGTTCATGTTGCCATACTACATTAGCATAGAAATAAAATTGTCCATTCAAATCCAATGGTAGTAGAGGTAGTTAAGGTATTAGCAGTAGACAGAGAGGTTGGGATTAGAAGATATTATTCAAGAAGTATGATCTAGTAAAATAAACTGAAAAAGAGAAAGACAAAGATGATGAGGAATTATGAAGGTTAAGATTTGAGAGAATACAAAGAATGAATGCACCTGCGCCATTGCAAACAATTTTGAGCAGTGTCATTCAGGGTCTCTAACCATCGATTACTAACATCTCGCGGACTCCAGCCATGTAGTCTACACCTACTGACATGAGTTAGTCCACTTGTCAGTGACTTCGACCGTAGCTGCTACCTTGACGTGGTGATCGGGCTTGCCCATCGTGATGACCGAACCGAGCTTTATTGGCAGGAACATATGTTCCTGAAGGTTCTACCATACCAGGCAGGTCGAATGGAGAACGATGAGACTAAAAGCAGCTACCCAAGTTGTGAGGGAGAAGTCGTACTGCTGACTGTGATGGAGGGGTGTGACAGCAGTAAGGTGTTTCCTTCGGACAACCAG